GGCCAGCTTTAGCAACTCAGTGAATTCCTATCAAAAATGAAATTTAAAATGTTGGGGGTCAGGTAGGTATAGCACAGATGGGGCTCCTGGGTTCAATGCCCAGTAAAGTCCCCCAAAAGATATACTTTCTGTTTTAGGGAAGCTCACTGTCTACCAGCAGATATGGGTACAGAAGGGTAAAGAATGATGGCACTTACAAAATTACAATACAATGACAAGTGCCACCACCAAGTTGAGTTCAAAATGAGATAGGATTAATAAAAGTGGTGGGGCTGGGAAGGTGGCTCAGTGGTAGAATGCTTGCCTTGGCTGCATGAAGCCCTGGGTTCAATTCCTCAGCACCACATAAGCAGAAAAGGCCAGAAGTGGAACTGTGACTCAAGTGGTAGAGCGCTAGCCTTGAGCTGAAGAGCTGAGGGACAGCGCCCAGGCCCAGAGTTTAAATCCCAGAACTGACCAAAAAAAAAAAAAGTTAGGAGAGGGTACATAGGAACAAGGCAGAGATAGGGAACCACATAGGGACCAAGAAAAACCACAGGAGAAGAGTCAGACTCTAATGGGAAGGAGTACATACGATGGACAAGTAGGCTGATGTCAGCTTTGGGTCAGCTGCTTTGGAAGGAAGAAGCCTTGCTACAATCAAGGGTAGATTAGGTGGGAAAAGGAGGCAGTATGAGGAGCGCCCTTCAGATCCCTGGGGGATAATCCCTTTTGGCTCTCCCAGAGGCTGATGGAAACAGGTTGGCCTTGTGTGGGGCCCACCAGTGCAGAGATAAGCAGGTTCTACTAGTGCCAAGACCCACACAATCTGCTGGCGATAAACACCAGAGCAGTGGTCAGATAAGCTTTTAGCCTTTGAATGCCTCTTACTGGGGCACCAGTGGACAGTGGAGTTTATTCTGGACATTCTAAGCCCTCAGCTGGGATGATAGCTCAGAGGAAGGAATCTAGGGTTTGGGCTGTCTCTAGAGCACTTTCCTTCTCTCTGCAAGTCATCATCATGTTTGCAAGGGTGGCACTGAATGTGCCTCACAGGGCTGGTGTGAGGGTTAAGACTTGATCCAAGGGGCTGGGAATATGGCTTAGCGTGCTTGCCTAGCACGCATGAAGCCCTGGGTTCGATTCCTCAGTACCACATAAACAGAAAAAGCCGGAAGTAGCGCTGTGGTTCAAGTGGTAGAGCACTAGCCTTGAGCACAGAGAGGCTCAAGGAAAGTGCCCAGGCCCGGAGTTCAAGCTCCAGGACCAGCAGGGGTGGGTGGAGGGAAGGGGGGGAGGAGGTTCGAGGGGAAGACTTGATCCAGCCTAGAATAATGGGGAACACAATGAGCCCTGGTGGGAGGTCAGAGCCCCAGGAGAGTAGGGTTACTTTCAAGAGGGGAAGAGGTCCATTCTTTGGAGTAGGCCTTGATAGAACTTTTCTACCAGTTTAAACATCACTGAACTCTCCATTTCTAGGGTGAATTTCTACATGTGTTTAAACCCAAGGAGTTCATGTAGGGTTAACTGCTGACACCAAGTCTTGTTTCTCCTCAGGCAGCAGAGTTCAAGAATTCCAAGAGGGCTGGGTACCACCCACAACCAAGAAAGATAATCAGGCATAGGCCCACACTGTCCAGTATCAGAAGCTGGAACACCTACAAGTGCCCTACAAGTATGGGAAGACACATGTGCAAATCTCATCCTACATACAGACATCTTAGAAGGGTCTGAAGAGGGGCTTTCCCTGAGGGAAAAAAACCTCAAGTGAACCTAAGTTGTTGCCTTTCCTGCTACATATTATGGCCTGGAAGGAAATTTCACCCTATGATTCTATCCTAAATGAGCTAATCCAAATATATAACACACGTTAAGCATGCAATAGACCTTTCTTAGAGTCAGTTTTACTCTGCAACTCCAGTTCTCCTTATGTCGATTAAAGTAGATCTGGCATTTGGAGTGTTGAGAAATTTGGTTCAAAGTCTCCCAAATATATAGAAATGCAATTTGAAAACAAATTCTAAGGGAAGGAAGGGTTGATGGCTCCTTTTAGCAATCCCAAGTAATCAGGAGGTGAAGACTGGATGAAGGAGGTGAAGCTTGAGGCTAGTCAAGGCAAAATGTTAATGAGACTCCATCTCAGCCAACAACTTGGGCATGGGAGTGTGAACCTGTGGTCCCAGATATGCAGAAGGCCTTAGGTGTAATCAAGGTCTGAGGTAATGCCCTGGGCAAAAATATAAAACATTACCTGAAAAATAAAGCAAAATTAGAAGTGTGGCTCAAATGGTAGAGGGGCCTACTTACCAAGCATGAAGCTCTGAGACCAAAAACCCAGTAACACTAGTTAAAAATACTTTTTGATGGTGCATGCCTGCAATCTGTCAGTCAAGCGGTAGGGGCAAAAGTATTAAGTGTGAGGACATTCTGGGCAATCCAGCAAGACCCTGTCTCAAAAAAAAAAAACAACCAAAAAACTTTGTGTGTATGTGTGTGTGCCAGTATGGGGGCTTAAACTCAGGGCTTGGGCCCTGTCCCTTAGTTACTCCCCCACACACCCAAAGGCTGGTGATCTACAACTTGAGCCAAATCTCCACTTCTGACTTTTTTGCTGGTTAATTGGAGATAAGAGTCTCAAGGAATTTCAGCTGGCTCTGAACCAAAATCTCAGTCCTCAGCCTTCTGAGTAGCTAGGATTCCAGGCATGAGCCACTGATGCCCAGTTAGACAAAAAATACTTTCTACTATAACATACCATGTAAATGAGGCAAAAATTAGTACTTTATCGGGTATGTCAAGGTCACTTTGCTACCCTTCTTTACAAAGCTTAGTTTCTAGCCAAGCAAGGTCTTCGTGGGAATTCCAGCAGTGTCTATACTCTTGGCCTCAGTCCATCATGATGGAGTGCCCCCACTGATGGGGACCTTTATAGAGACCCTAATAAGTGAGATTTTTTATCACTGTGCTGCTGACCCCAAATTAACAAGACAGGGTGGTTCTACAAGCAGCTTTTAGTTTCTATTCATCAAGGTTAGCTGCGATATTAGGCAGACCAGTATGCTCTGGGGAGTAACTAGTATCTTATTAAGTTATAAATACATTTAATGACTTTAGTACTGGTTTCTTATTTTGGAATATGAGGAAGAAAAAAAAAGAACTAATAATCACTAGCATCTAAGTAAAAAGCCACTAGTTTTTATAATGTGTATTTACCTACCTTATTCTTATGAATCTTTTTTTTTTTAATAGAGCCTGTGTGCTCACTCAAAGGACAACTGTAGCTCTCCTGTAATTGTGTCAGGCTACTTGCTACTGGCTTATCTGCTAGGGAGAAATTCAAAGTGGTCCAAGATTTTTATGACTAAGTGGTTTAGTTTTGATTTACAATCAGCTAAATCAATTAAAGACTGAGAGACTTTTCTCCCTACCCCCACTTGCTTTTGTGATTCCTCCTTAAGAAAACAAAGACACATCTTCAATCCCTGAACAGATGCTTAAAAATAGGTGGATTTTTGGGGGGTTTTGGGTGTTGCTATAGATGAAACTCAGGGCCTTAGACAAGCTAGGCAAGCAAAGTACCACTGAGCCACACCTCCAGAATTTTAAGGACACTTAAGTGGATAGCAGAGCCCTCCTCCTTCACATTTCTGCACAGAGAAAAAACTTATTTTAGATTATCCACCAAATAATAATATCCTGCTACAGCAGGTCTGGGCTTACCTCATTTCCAGCTGGTGACCTGCTACTAGGCTGGAGGACTGTGGACTAATTCTTGGGCTGTGCACCCTGAAGACGCCCAGGGCTGAGGACTGTCTCGAGGAATGCTTCTGTGGTGGCAACTGGTCCCTGAGCTGCCGATGAAAGCTAAATAAACCGCACAGGTGCTATAAGCTCCATCTGGGTAACTCCCCTCACATCCCACCCCCTTCTGTTCCAAAACACGCCACTCTCCTCCCAGCCCCTCACGTGCTATTTCCCTCCCTCACCCCACTAGCCTCCAACCTGGAGATGTATGTTGTAGAGACCACTATAGAACCCAGTGACAGGTCATCATATGCAGGGGTGGAGCTGCTTGCCCTGGGTCAGGAGGGAAGGCCTCGCCTCAAGTAGAGGTTAGACCAGGGGTCATTTGGGGCAACTTCTTTCCCTTCCAGAGATGGGCTGAGCGAGCTGCAGCAATCAGGAGCTGGCTTCAAAATCAGTGACAGGGAGGGGGACAACCTCACAACAAACAGTGGTAACAGAAGGCCTGTGTGGGAAGATGGTTAAGTTTGGTCTAAAACAAGCAGTGTCTCTGGTAATGAGCTGTTGTTAGGAAATACGTGGGGCTCTAGGCACTGAAAAGAGCACTGCCACCTCTCCAGGATGGAGTTTGAGAGGGGAAGGGATGAAGGAGGGCAAAGCAAAGTGAAACCAAGACTGAAGAGCCATCACAGGGACATTTATAGAGCCTGCTCTATAATGCTCTTTGCATTCTGGGCAATCTTTGGTAAATACCCATGTGTTTCTATCACAGCCCAGGGAGCTCATTTGTGAATTGAGGACACCTGAGGCGTGAGCCAGGTTCCTGGCAGGAAACAATGAAGCACAGGAGGGAGGGATAGCTGGCAAAAGCAACATTGCTAACCAATCCAGGGCTTCAGGACAAGGGGAGGGTGTGGTTAGCAGACCTCAGAAACCACCTGACTGGTATCACCCCACACCTGGCAGGAGAGAGGAGCATTCCCCTTCTCTCACCTACTGGCTGCTCCCAATGTCAATGGTGCATCCTGGCTGGCAGGTAGGCCAGCCTCCCCATGGGCATGTGTGGGGTGAGGGCACCCAGCTGGCACTCAGGGCATACCCTGCATGTGTATACCTTGGACCACTCACCCACTATTCGGCGTTTACTTATGAAAAGCCCACAATATGACCTTATTCTTAGGTGGCAAAAGCCAGACTGGAAAGCAAGACAGAAGTGTTCATCTATACAAGAGTGAAAAACGAAACTTTTACAAAATTGACAGATAACATTTATTAAAACATGTCATACAAAAGGGCATGGTCTCTTCTATAAGAAGAAAATATTAAACAGTAACATTCAATTAAGTAAAACCATGCTGTACACTGAAGACAGCAATTATATAAAGACAAAACTATTCAACTTTTGCAATACAGGCATAACATTTCACAAAATGTCAATAAGATATGCACCTAATGATAATCTGTTTATCATCAAATGGTTTTGTGGCCTAAGTCACCTGACTTGCATAAATAAAGTAATTTTCTAGGAGAAACAGTGGGAACCTCATCAAAAGAAAGAAGGCAGCAGCAGCAACTGACATGACACAGGCTTCAAGCAAAATTTAAAAAAAAAAAAAAAGTCACATTTGCAAAATGTGTTCCAGCATCTTCCCATAGGGCATTATCAGTAGAAATTGAGATAAGAAACATGTACCTTTAAGTAGCAAAAAACCAAAAACCAAAACAAACCCTGGTTTCTCTGGACAAATTTAGTCACCCATGAATGCAACCTAAATCCACAGAAATTAGTGGCACAGAAGGGGGTTGGGGTAATGCATCCCTTGGTTTCTTCCAGTATCTAACGTACCACAGAGCAAACCCCTGGATCTGTGGTAGACATACTCTCATCAGCCTTTAAGGCTAAAGCACTTCCCAGGGGAAGACACAGCCTCTTGCTCTTCAACTTCCTTCCCACACCAGCTCAGGGTTTGCATCCCTCGGCAAGCTGGAGCCACAGCTTGCTAAATAGCTAGAACCTGCCCAGCATCAAGTACTCCTATAAGGAAAGGGGCCTTTTGGAGAGATCCTTAAAAACAGAGGCCAAATTAAGCTGGAGAAAGGTGAGACATAGAAACTGACAGGTCAGCGCTGAGAAGAGCCTAAAGACAGCTCTTAGCACATGAGGACCGGTCACCTCATTCCTTCCTTTGTTGGACCAAGTAGATTATTGTTATCTGTGTTCATCCAAACAAAGGGCATGGTCTACACAGAATACCAAATGCCACCAGTGGTGTCTGAAGCCTGTTACTACCAAGATGGAGGAAAATCACAGTTAAGACTCAAAATAGGAGACAAACACCTTAGTTAAACATGTATGGAAATGATCCTTGAAAGATTGCTTGGAAAATGCCACCCACAACTATCCAACCTCATCTGGAAGGATGAAGATTTTCTAAAGCTGTGTTGACACTAAGGGAAGAGACTGTCATTACAATGATCTCCTAACCTAAAAGAGCATCTTATTAATATTTACTTTTTAACACCCAGGCTAAGGCTGTCCCTTCTTCTTCCTCCTGAACACAGCCAGTATCTCAATACACTCAAATATCTTACAGGCTCTGGCTGACCCAATGAGCAACCCCAGGTTTTACAAAAACCCAATTACAAAAAAGGGCATATGTGAAGAACTTAACTTCTACGTTTAGCAGCTGATGTTCACAGAAGGAATTTGGTAAGATACTACTCTTCAAACATATTAGATAAGTCCCAGCAGAGCTGGCCCCCAGGGGCTGGCCACACTCCTGGCTGAACAAAAGCTCTTTATCACCACTCAGGATGAGAGTGCTGATTCAGCGTAACTGAGGGACTATGGTTTCCCCAGAAGATTTTAATTTTACCATTTAGATTCCACCCCAAATGTCCTAGTGCTCATTTAAATAGAATCTTTAATAGAAAACATCACGCTGAACCTTTTCAACAGGCAAAAAAAAAATGTTCTGCTGATACCATGGGAGCGGTGACCAGCTTTGGGTAGAACAGATGGCTTCAGTGTTTTACTATGGAAATTAGTAGGAGCAATAGATCAAGTTCTCCTCACTGTAGTGGCCAATATTATACCCACCCTGGTCTCTAACATATATGTCCAGCCTCAATGCATGTCCATGTGGTACTGAGAAAGGACTGTCCAGTGCCAAAGTTTCAACATTAAGAGAAGATAGTATTCATGTGACAAACAACCAAGAGGTAATATCTAGTCTCTAAATTTAAAAAAACCAACTATATATATTTATAATAAAGTTTTAAATACAAAGTGCTTTTTATATAGACTGATACAGTGTTAGTGAGTAGATCCCTGTTATGTAATGTTTTGTAAATCTTGATTGCAAGAGCTAAGTGGTACTTTCTCCCCACTCTCCAGATAATGTTCAACAAGGAAACCCTGGGTGAGGGGTGCTTGAAGAGCAGAGGCCTTTGCCAGTAATGTCTATCACATTCGAGCAAAGCAAAACTTTTAAAACAAAATTTCACCCAAAGTCCAAGAAAAACTATTTTTTTATTTGGACGAAAACAAGTTTCTACTTCGAAGTAATAGAGCAGTAAGTTTCTAAAAAGATGACAAAACAGTAGCACCCTGTCCTATCCTGGTAACCTCAGACATGCTACACAGCTGAACGGCATTCTGGATACATGCCTTCTGTTGACCCTAAAACAACTGATTGATCAGCAGAAAAGGCCTTAGACTAGTAGCTCGGCTTATTGTTTGCTAGATATAGCTATGTGCAGACTTGTAAATTTATGCAGCTTCTTCTGTAACTTGGGAGCATGAATCCGTCAGACTATTTTGCTAAAATTAGGACTTCTTCCTCAGCCTTTAACCAGTGGTACTAGGGTGTGAACTCAGGGCCTGCTACTCACTAGGTAGGTACTGCACCCTTTGAGTTATGCCCCCAGTCCTTTTTGCTTTAGTTATTTTTTCAAATAGGGCTGGGCCAGCTTGGACTGTGATCCCCCATTTACACTTCCCATCTAGCTGGGATGACAGGTATGAACCACTATGACTAGCTTTCTTTAATTGCTGAGTTGGGAGTGAGGGGGGGGGTCTTGCAAATTTTTTGTCTGGGCTGGCCTGGAACTACAATCTGCCCAATAGCTGGAATTACAGGTGTGAGCCATTCCCACCCTTCTTTCTCCCTTAAACAAATATCACAGCACAGCATAAAGAACTGCCAGTTTTAGCTCACTGTACTCTTTCCTCCATGAGTATTCCTCTATCTTTTTCTTGGGCCATCTACTTTCGAGTATAACCTGACACACAAGATTCTGCTTCTTCCCCAACTATCATTCTGACAGTGAGGGTTAATATGGCACCAACTCTCGGCTATGGTTCCAGCTCCATCCCATGAACTGTGGTCTCAGGTGTCCTTGTTGGGAAGCACCATGATTTCAAGAGCAACAGCTGGTGCACTCCTCTATACTGTGGTCAGAAGTCTCCTAGCTGAAGTGGATCTCATGTGTGGATGCTACAACTAGACAGAACTGAGGGAAGGGTAACCAGAAACACCTAACTCTGGCACTCAAGAGGATTAGAATTAGATACAATAGTTCAAACTCACCTAAAGTATTTTAGTATTAAAATACTAAAGTTTGAAACATTGTGACAATGGCATCTTACAGAAATTGAAACTTGTCTCATAGGTTACTGATTTCAGGCCTCCAATGTCACCCTCTTAGGCCCTCCCCAGTCCTAAAGTATCCTTTAGAAAGAATAACATCAGACAAGATTGCTGTGTTAACCAATTTCTCATCCCAGGAATCACATTATTTGAAGCTTTTACATAAGTAGCATTTCATTCAGTGAAGCAGCTACCAAAACAAATCCACATTACCTAAGGATCTATAATAAGAGCAAAGTAAAACATGACCTTGTGATAATGTGTGGTCAAAAATCGCTGCCACCTGAGATGGAACTGGTAGGCTGCAGTCCAGTTCCAAGTGCAGATGTCTCTTTCCCCAAGTCCACCTGCCTCAATCACAGCTGGCTTGAAGGTTTCCCTTGCCAGCTGTGCATCAGATGAACTTATCCCTCTCACCCATTCCAGGCCAGGACTGGCACATACCAATCCAACGAATTAGATTTTTTTAATTGGCCTACTTAGAGCTGGTCTTTCAGAAATATCTTCCTTTTTTTTAAGCTTTTCTCATAATAGCAAGTAGCACGCATCATCTGTGCCCAGATTTGCATTAATTACCATAGTTTATTTCTGTGCATGCCACTCAAGGGCCAGCCTCTATTTTTAGTTAGCCTCAGTTGTATTCTGTTCAGCCTTTGCAGCTTCATAGGACTTGGTACAAGAAGTCACATGCCTATGGAAACTGTCCCTCCACATAAATCTCTTTGCACAGATATTACACTCATAGGGCTTTATGCCTGTATGAATTTTCATGTGGCCCACGAGATGGTGCTTCATTTTGAATTTCTTACCACAGACACCACAGCCATAAGGCCGAAGACCGAGGTGCATGCTCATGTGTCGATCTCTCTGACTCTTGTGAGTGAAACTTTTCCCACACTGACAAGGATACAGCTTGTCTGTGGCTGAGAATCCTAAATGGGAAGCTTCTTCTTTAATCCCAGTTACCATTTCAATATTCTCACTGTAGCCTGCTGTCAGGGCGGCCTCTTGTCTGTGCCCAATCAGATTCCCATCTGACCTCTCTCCAGAAAATTCCTCCATGGAAGAGCCATAGAAATCCACCTGCTCATCGTAGTTGCTTTCGTCGGCCTGCTCATCAAACTCTGCCTCTACTTTCTTTTCCCCAATATGAAAGTCCTCCTCCACTCCTGAAGGCTGGACTGAGTGTTCGGTCTGCATGGCATTGATAGACTCAGTGACCTGGTGCTCATCATAGGCTGCGTGCACATCCATGCCTTCGCAAGCCTGTTCCAAGCGCTCAGGCTTCACGTGGATCCAGCGTTTGTGAGCCATTATGCTGGGCTTGCTGTACATGGGCCGGGTGTAATGGAACTCAGCACTGTCACTGGCCCCCTCCTCCCCATCCTGGCTTGCCATTTCAGTGCTCAGCCGGTCATGCTCGGTGGATGAGTTGCTAGGAAGGTATTCGTGCTCGGTGATCTGAGATGACAGTTCATCTTTGGTGCTCTCCTCTTCATTCTCACCATCCCTTAATTCCTGGGCTTTGGGGAAATCAGTGTGGCTCCCAGAGCCCAGCTCAAAACTCTCTACCAGGCCATTATAACTACTGCTGCTTGGAGACTGGTGGTCACTGCCATGATTTAGTTTCTGACAAAGGACTGTAGGGTTTCCCTCTAAAACCTCTGTGCATTTGTCCACCACATGCCACATCTGGAGGAAGCTGGCTGCGGTTAAGTAACTAACAATTTCTGGGGCAGGCATAACCAGGCGTCCTGTGTAACTAGATAGGAGAATGTTCTCAAACACTCTTGGGTTCATCACATCAGGCAACACAATTCTCCTACTGTTTTTTAGGAGTACTTGATCACAAAAGTAGGGTGAACTGGCAGCAAGAACAGCTTTGTGTGCCCGGAAAATGTGGCCTTGGACAACAATAGAGACGTCACATAATTGTCCTTGCTGGCGTTGCTGGTTCAGTTTCTGCAGAATGGTGCTGGAAAAATCAGGAAATTCGACTCGAAAAGAGTTTGTTCCAGGCTCCATTTCATCACAAATCTTGTTTAGTGCTACAAGAGAAAGGAAAGTTACTACTAATCCCAGCCTAAAGAAGAACTTACTCCTATTTCTTCCTGTATCACTAAGAAAATGTAAACAAGTTCCAAAATTCCATAAAGTCTCCTTGCCTATGGGTACTGGTGGAAAGGGGATTGGTATGAGGACAGATATGAGGGCACCAGAGGCTGGGTCTCCCAGCACTCATCACAGTATTGACTCAAGGTTGCCTCAGTGTGTGAGTGAGAAAACAGAACCTACCACAGTAATAGCAACTGTAAGCTATATAAATCCCCTACAGAACACAAAGTAAATATTTCTAGTCAAAACAAACATGCTTCCTACCAAAATTATTGAATGTCAGGCCTTAGTATCAACTCACATTTGTCAAGTTGACGTGAAGGAGTCATACTAGAATTGTGGGAATAGGGTTGAAGGTGTAGACCCACAGTAGAGGATCTCTGTTCCATGCCCCTTATCCTAACCCCAGAAAAAAATTGTGGGGAAAAAGAAATTCAGATGCAAATGTTCTGAGGCAAGAACAGAACTGGCCTTTTCAAGGAAGAAAGGAGATTACTAAGAAGAATCTAGGTAGAGACTGATAGACAAGAGGACTGGTGCCAAGGGACCAGATAATTACACTGGTCTTTTGGTACCACTCTTGCTGAAATGTAGGTTTCTCTAACACTGGTGGGAATTTTCACTCCTTAAAAGCTGATACACGTGTGAGGTACAGAGAATCAAGTTGCAAGTATCAAGGTTTTTCTAAAACTTGTCTCCCTAAAGTGCTGGAAGTTATAGACCAACTAGGACACTGTCTCTGCTACTGAATAGACCCAGAAGATAAAGCTACAACAAATAAATGATTACATGTGTTGTTACTGTAAATGTATCTGGTGGGTTTGTCTGTGTTAGGACTAGACTTAGCAACAACACAGGAACTCAACTATAGATGTGCCTGACCCCTCCCAATTCAGTTGTAAATGGCCCAAAAGATAAAGCAGTGCTATGTGTCAACCTTCTCTAATAGTCAAACATCACTAAATTCCAAGTATGAGATATAGAATCAGACAACCCGAACAAAGACTGAAAGTCATTCTTTTTTTTTTTTTTTTTTGGGTCCGGTTGTGGGGCCTGAACTCTGGGCCTGGGCGCTGTCCCTCAGCTCTTCAGCTCAAGGCTAGCGCTCTACCACTTGAGCTACAGCGCCACTTCCGGCTTTTTTCTGTTTGCTTATGTGGTGCTGAGGAATCGAACCCAGGGTCTTGAGCATGCAAGGCAAGCGCTCTACCACTGAGCCACCTTCCCAGCCCCTGAAAGTCATTCTTGAGGGATAGAAAGCGTTGACAAGAAGAAACTAATGTACGTGGAGTAAGTTTTATATGGCAGGAACTGTACATCATTTTCCACTTTGTCTTATAAATTACTCCGTAAATGTAGGGCTTGAATACTCAAGTTCAGCTATTTTAAGTATCTTTCCCAAGGTTAAAAGATAGTTGTTTTATTTTTTATATTGAGATATAAATCTAGGTTAGTATGACTCCAAAGAGTATAGTATTTTTCCTAGCACATCCCTTTGCCTTTTCTAAGAAATTGCCATCATGCAGCCAGGTGCTAGTAGCTATTGCCTGTAATTCTAGCTACTCAGGAGGTCAAGATCAGAGGATCACAGTTTGAAGCCAGCCTCTACACGAAAGCTTATGAGACTGTTATTTCCAATAAACTACACAGAAAAGCTGTAAATGGCGCTGTGTGTTAGCCTTGAGCACAAAGAGGCTCAGAGACAGTGCTCAGGCACTGAGTTCAAGTCCCAGTACAGGCAAAAAAAAAAGAAGAAGAAGAAAAGAAAAAGAAAGAATAAAGAAAACACCATAATTCAAGATTAGTCATTAGGCTCACATCTGTAATCCTAACTATTCAGGAGGCTAAGATCTGAAGATCCCGGTTGAAAGCTAGCCCGAGCAGACAAATCCAAGAGATTCTTACCTACAATTAACCAGCAAAAGCCCAAATTGGCGCTGTAGCTCTAGTGGAAGAGTGCCAGCAGCCTTGAACTAAAAAGCTAAGAGAGAGTGTGAAGCCCTGTGTTTAAACCCTGGTATCAAAACACATGCACACTGCCACGTGCCAGTGGCTCACCCATGTAATCCTACTCAGGAGACAGAGATCTGAGGATCCAGGTTCAAGCCAGCCAGAGCAGTTAAGTCTGAGTCTCTTATCTCCAATTAAGCACTAGAAAACTGGAAGTTGTTCTGTGGCTCAAGTGGTACAGAGTGCTCATCTTGAGCTGAAGAGCTCAGGGACAGCACCTAGGCCCTAGTTCAAGACCCATGACCAATAACACACACACACACACACACACACGCACACACGCACGCACACACACACACACACACACACACACCTTAAAAACAGTATTTTTTTAAACCAAGTATTATTATTTTAGTGCTGGTTCTGGGGGCTGAACTCAGAGTCTGGACACTGTCCTTGAGCTTTTGTGGTCAAGCTTAGCACTCTACCACTTGAGCCACAGTTCCACTTCTAGATTCTCTGGCAATTAGTTGGAGGGTCTCGGGCTTTCCTGAATGGGCTGGCTTTGAACTTCAATCCTCAGATCTCAGCCTCCTTAGTAATTAGGACTACAGGCATGAACCACTGGTACTTGACTAACAAAATATTAACTTACAATTTCATAAGAAGAAGCCTAAAAGATGCCTTTGCTAGGCCCTGTGAATTAACTAAAAACCCAATAGCTCAATTTTATTGGTACCATTTGACCTGAGCTAGTCTCTGCTGCAGTCACTTTACTACCACCCTAAGCTCCAGGAAAGAGAAAATTCACTAATAAGTATCTTATGTAGAAGGCAAACTATACCTCAAACAGACAATGTCATCTTCTTATCTTAAATGAAACATTGAAAAACTCAGGAAATCACCCATGAGACAATGTGTTCCTGATCTGTCCTTGGTAAAATGGTAACTTCTCCAGAGACAAGACTGAGCTAATGGTAAACCAGGCTTGACTTGAGACTGGTTCAACTACACATCTCTTTCTCTTCCCCCTGCCTCCAGCTCTCAGATGTAACCTAAAACAAATGTCTGTACCTTGGAAGAGGGCTGAGGAGATACGTGTTATCTTTTTATGGCTGCCATGTAATAAATCTCCTTTCTCAGTCTTTCACCTTTGGTGTATGGGGATTGTTAGGCCCGCCCTGGGAAGGCAGGGCAGACTCCTACCTCTTGGCTAAGTCTCTGCTCAGTACCTGTGTCACCTAGGTAACTGGCACACCAGGAGGCAGTCATCTCCCCCTCCAAGGTCAGGGTTTTATCTGGGGCTGCCTTAGGTCACACCGCCTATCAGATCTAGAGAGGGTCCCAGGCTCTGAGGTCACATCCGCAGCCAGTGTGGCTATAACTTCTCTCACCTGGCAACCCCTTCTCCCCAACCCCCTTCCCTACTTAAACCCCGGTGGGACATCAGCCAGCCCCTGTGGCCACACCTCTCCACCACCAAGGGCGGGGCAGCGGTTTGGTAAATAAACTTCTCTTCCAGCCTGAATTCTACATGGTTTTCTCTTTATCCGCTACCTTATTAAACCTACCTATTTATCTAATGGGGATGAGCAACTAGGCCTAACATGGGATTCTTGAACTTTAGTATGGGGTCTAAAAACCTATTTTTATACATCTTAATACATTTCCTAATGACTTAAAACACAGCAGACCAAGATATAAATGACTTCGGTATTTGTAATTTCAAAAAGAGAAGTTAGCTGGCTACCTCTGGTTCAGGCTTGTGATCCTACCTACTAGGGAGACTGAGTAGAAGGATAGTAATTTGAGAATAGTTCTTCAAAAATTACCAGCAATTGGGCTGGGAAGGTGGCTCAGTGGTAGAGTGCTTGCCTTGCATGCATGAGGCCCTGGGTTCGATTCCTTAGCACCACATAAGCAAAAAGAAAAAAGCCGGAAGTGGCGCTGTGGCTCAAGTGGTAGAGCGCTAGCCTTGAGCTGAAGAGCTGAGGGACAGCGCCCAGGCCCAGAGTTCAGGCCCCACAACCGGACCCAAAAAAAAAAAAAACCAACAAACAAAAATTACCAGCAATTAACAGGACTGGAGGTGTGATTCAAGTGGCAGAGCTCCACTCTAGCAGCAGGCTGAACTACAAGCATTGACAAAGAAAATTACTACTAACAAATGTCTTTTTAGAAACCTTCCTGTGTAATTATCAGAACAAATCATGTATATTCTCTGAGAATACTCATTCAAATTGATCTATTATCTGTTTGTACTCAGCACTCTGCTTTGTCATTTACTATATATCAGAAATCTTCCCACATTAGCCCCAAAGAGATACTCAATCTGTTTAATGACCATAATGTCTTCTGGTACATGAATGTATGCTAATTTGAGCATTTCTCATACCTTACATAATTTCACTTGTCTGGATTTTTGAAATTATAAACAATATTACAATGCTTATGTCTCTGGAGAAAGGATTCCCTTAGCTTCCCAGTGTCCACTGAAAACCATGTCCCTGAGATCCATTCAAGAAAAGCATTCAAGCTGGGGGTGGGGTGGTGGTGGTGGTGGCTCATGCCTATCATCCTAGCTACTCAGGAGGCTGAGATCTGAGGATCAAGGTTCAAAGCCAGCCCAGGCAGGAAAGTCCATCAGACTCTTATCTCCAATTAACCACTAGAAAACCGGAAGTGGCACTGTGGCTCAAGTGGTAGAGTGCTGGCCTTGAGCTGAAGAGCTAAGGAATAGCACTCAGGCCCAGAGTTCAAGCCCCACAACAGACGACAAGGAAGGAAGGAAGGAAGGAAGGAAGGAAGGAAGGAAGGAAGGAAGGAAGGAAGGAAGGAAGGAAGAGCATTCAGGGTATTTCAGTAAAGAGAATCTCACAAGGTAAAAGTTCAAGCAAGAATTTATTTTAAAATAATAATCAAAGTACAGAGAAACAAAGAGAAACATTTCCTGCTTCCCAAGCAGAAAATTAATGCTAAAGAC